AGAATTAATCAAATGCCACTTTGGAAGCTCCTTCCCAACATAGGGCATCCTCGGGAATGCTAGTTATTATTCCCATTTTTACAGGTGAGGAAACCAGAACTGGGTGTTCGCTCATAACTTTTGCCCAAGGCCACTGCAAGTTTTCGGCTAAGCATTTGGAAGAACTTCCTGACAGTTAGAGCGGTTTCTGAGTGGAACAGGCTTCCTCGGGAAGTGGTGGGCTCTCCTTCTTTGGATGTTTTCAAACAGAGGCTAGGTGGCCATCTGACAGCAATGCTGATTCTGTGAACTTAGGCAGATCATGAGACAGGAGGGTAGGAGGGGTTGCCTCAGTGCTTAGTTCTTGTGGCCCTTTCTTACATGCCAAGGGAAATGCTGATTGCTACTTTAGGGTCAGGTAGCTGCTTTATCCTGAATACTGACAAGGTCAGTATTGCCTACTCAGACTGGCAGCAGCTCTCCTGGATCTCAGGTTAAAGGTCTTTCACTTTACCTCCTGCCTGGTCCTTTTAAACTAGAGATTCTGGGGACTGAATCTGGCACCTTCTGCCGGCAAAGAAGATGCTCTTCCGCTGAGCCACAGCCCGTTCCCTGACAGTCGTGAGCACATGAATCTGCCTTCTACTGAGTCAGTCCATCAAGGTCAGCGTTGCCTACTCAGACTGGCAGCAGCTCTCCAGGGTCTCAAGCAGAGATCTTTCACGTCACCTGCTCCCTGATCCTTTTTATCTGGAGATGCTGGAGATCGACCCCAGAACCTTCTGCGTACAAAGCAGAGGCTCCCCCTCTGAGCCACAGCCCCTCCCAACCAGTGTCCCCTCTAAACCGAGTCAGTGTGTGCTAGCTCACAGTTCTTTAGCCTCCGGCTCACACGTTTTTGCCTTCGCTCAGGAAGGATGGCTCCAGAGCAGACTAATTGATGCAGCAGCCAAATCGCTCGCTCACATCTTTAATGCCAGTAGCTCACAAGGTAGAATTTTTGCTCACAAGACCCCACAGCTTAGAGGGAGCGTTGCCCCCAACAGGCAAATCATTCCTGTCACTGTGAAAACGCCGACAGCAGCACGCTCTCTTCCCTCTCTGCACCCCCTTTTGCCCCAGCCGTGTCAGGGCATGGTTCGTCCCTTCTTCCCATCACACAGAATCCCCTGTAGGTGCCCAGGGGCTGAGCCGCGAGAGCCCTCCTAGGACAGCACGGGGGGGCTGGCATACAGCGTCACCCAAGGCAGATATTTCTCCCACTCCCATTAGCAAATGCCAGTTCTTGCTGTTGCTGCATGCCCCCCCCCTTTCCGCTTTCACGGCTCTTTTCCCAACCAGAGAGCATTCATTCTCTCTCTCTCTCTCTCTGCTCAAAAGCCAAGCCAAGCCAAGCGATGGGGGATGAACATTGGTCAAGACAGACTTAGCGTGGCAAGAGCGATATATAGGCGGCCTGGGCTGGGATATAAATAAATCTCAGGAAGGCCGTGCTACTGGAGCAAGCAGAGGTGTGTGTGTGTGTGCATGCAGGCAGATGAGTTATGGCACTGCTTCGTAGGCATCCCGCAAGCAGAGGGCAGGGACGGGAGGGAGCACAGGTGGGAGCAAGTCTCTGCTCTGAGGGCGGAAGAACTGGCACAGAGGGGGCAGCGTTTGCATGGGCAGAGGAGCTGGAACGTTGGGATGGAGAGGGGGCATATAAGCAGCCTGCAGAAGCCAGCAGGGCAGGGCGCGGGGAGGCCTTGAGAAGTGGAAGAAGCAGACAGCTGTGGGACCAAGAGGAGGCTGGTCCATCAGACGAGGGCAGGGGTGGCCTAGCCCAGGGGTGTCAAACATAAGGCCTGGGGGGCCAGAACTGGCCCATCCAGGGCTCTTCTGTGGCCTGCAAGCAACTAGTGCAAGGGAGGGAACAGGAGACTGCTCGGGGAGAGTGGGTGGAGCCACTCCGATTATGGCTGCAGCATGGTGGAACAACCTCGCTTGCCGCAGTCAAGCAATGTAGAGCGTCTACCCAGTGCTGCACCGCTAGCTCTCTAGTCCTCCCATATGGGTTATCCTATGCACCCCCCTCCCAACCCATGGAGCCTTGCAGTGAGGATGCACCAACACGGAGCTTACCAGCTGCTGTCCTTTATATAGTTTATATCTCCGGTACCCGGCATTACATTTTATGACACACATTGCCTGGCCCTTTATGTTAGGTCCAGCCCTCATAACAAATGAGTTCGACACCCCTGGCCAAGTCAAAAGACCAACCTTGACCCATGAGCTTTTCAGAGGTCAAAGGGGGAACTTCCTGGATAGGAGCATTCACCGTAGAAGATTCCCTGCCAACATGAGGGACTAGCAATGATAACGTACTTTTGTACTGTGCTTCAGTGTTCAGAATGACGCTGTACTTTTCAGGAAGGCTTACAACAACCCCGTTAGATAGGTCAGTGTCGTTATTCCCAGCTTGTAGGTCGAGGGGCTGACTCTAAGGAAAGCAACGGTCTGGACTTAGAAGAGGTGCCTGTGAAGGGGATGTGGCATGCTTGGCATGCAGAAGTTCCCAGGTTCAGTCCCCGGCATCCCCAGTGGAAAAGGATCAGGCAGGAGGTGATATGAAAGACCTCCACCTGAGACCCTGGAGAGCTGCTGCCCATCTGAGTAGACAATACCCACCCTGATGATTGTGTAGGGGCTCTGGCTTAGTGGCAGAGCCTCTGCTTGGCATGCAGAAGGTCCCAGGTTCAACCCTGGGCCTCCCCAGTGGAAAGGGACCAAATAGTAGGTGATGCAAAAGACCTCCGCCTGAGACCCTGGAAAGCGGCTGCCAGTCTGAGTAGGCAATAGTGACCTTGATGGACTGATGGTCTGATTCAGCATAAGGCAGCTTCAGGTGTGTTCACGTGTGTGTGTGTACCTGTTGCGAGGCCATCCTCGGTCCCAGAAGCAGAGGCATTGTCTGAGCTGCTCTTGGAGAAGAGGCATTCTCTTGACTTGGCCTCGAGCTCTTGAGCTGTTGGGCAGACGGAGCTTCGCCCTGAACTCCCCGGGGTCTTCCGTGGCCGGCAGCGTCTCTGTGCCAGAAAAGGGCCTTCCCCAGCACCGGCAGCGTTTCTCACCGGACTTAACTCGGCTCTCGCTGCCTGCATGCTGATCGCAGGGTCATGAACCGGGGGCCCCGGTTCTTGCCCTTCTACTTTGGGCCAAGGCCCCCCCCCCCGGGCATCTGGATGGACAGCTGCGGGGGCCATCTGAAGGCCCGTTGCCTGAGAGACGGAGCCCAGCCATGGGGTACTTCAATGAGGCTTCACGCCATAGTCTTACACCTGAACAGATCACTCCGGACTCACAGCCAGGCTTGAGTTGATGTTAGGCCTTCATATGTGTGTGTGTGTGTGTGTGTGTGTGTGTGTGTGTGTGTGTGTGTGTCCCCAGAATCTGAATGCCCGGGTAACTCCATTTTGGGGCGCTTCCCAAATGGGTGGATCCCGGGGTGCAAAGACATCTCACGAGAGGAACGCCATCTGTCGGGCCTCCTCACGCCATCCCTTTGCATCACGCTGCAAAAGTCCTGGAGCTCGGGCCAAGCCGCAGATTCTGCAACATCTGCTGCCGCCATTGCTTTTCTGTGGCTTTGGCGCCTCGATCCTGGGCAACCACAAAGTCCCCGTTTCCACGTCGTGGCATCCTGGCCAGATGCTCGTAGTCATCAAGCTGCCCCGCCCCCCACCTTGGGCTACTTAGCTGGGGGTGGATGGACAGCAAACCCACCCCCCACCCCCCTGCGTGCAGCTTCTGGGTTAGTTGCATAATTTCCTTTGATTCGCCAGAGTCCAAACCATCATGGGAACAGAGAGGCATGGTTTGACTGGCTTCGCTCAAGCATGTCTGTCTCTTTGCTGGCTTCTGCCGCGTCTAGGAATTCGTCTTGAAAGCCGGCTTTAGACAGGAAGCGTCGGATGGCTCTGTTGTGGCCGGCCAACATGGGTCATGTCAGATCGCTTGGGCACCGAGCCCTTCTTTCCCTCTCAGTCTCCCCAGCCGCACCTGACAGTTGACGAGAAGAATCTCTGCTCCATTGGCCTGTTACTCTCAGAGCGTAATCCCCTAGGACTGTAGGAAAAAGCCCCAATTCTCATTAGAACTCCCCTCCAGAGAAGGGGAGAGAGACAGAGACAGAGTGACAGAAAGCTGGCTTCTCAGAGCCTTGTAGACAGAATTTCTTGGAAACGTGGAAGGAGGTGGACGGGGAGGGGGAGAATGCAGGGAGGAGAGCAACTCAAGTCCTGGAGGCAAGAAGGAGGGCTGATGATGAAGGAAGAGACCAAGGACACCAGGGTTTCATAGGCTGGGAGTGGAAGAGAAGGGAGGGAAGGAAGAGAGACCCCTCGAAAGACAAGGCGTGCAAGGGAGGAGAGAAAGGTGCGTGTGTGTGGTGAGGTGGGGTGTTCTGGGAGCTCCTCTCGTTGGCTCAGAGCTCTCCAAGGTTGGCTTTCTCCACGATGACCCAGAGAAGACAGGGACCGTCTGTTATTTATTTCTATCCGGCTCCCTTCCCTTCAGCTTAATCTCTGCAACTGCAGATGCCTTTCGCCCTTTCCACAAAGGGGGAGGCAGAGGGCTGTGGCCGGGAAGTGATCCGGACGTACAAGTAGGCAGTGTGATGTTTGCATGCACACACAGGTGTGTAACCTTGGTTCACCTCCTCTTCCCTGCTTACTCTTCCTTTCCTGGCAAGCAAAGACTGGAAGGACCCCTCTTCCTGCCAATTTCCTGGGACTCCAAACCTGCTTGGAGACTGTTCTTCTGCAAGGCTTTAGAGGTGGGGGGTGGGGGTTAACTGTGGTTAATCAGCAGCACAGGGAAGATACTCTGTGCGTGTTCAGAAGCATTCCCAAGACATGTTCCCAGGCGGAACTGGGAAACGGGTTCTGGGCCTAGACCCCAGTGCGATGTGAACCAGGTTAATCGCTAGAGGGGTGACCATTTGACCTGGTGACTCATGCGCGATTTCCTCCTCTCTCCCGCAGATCTCCTCCGGGCACGGCAAGAGGTGGCAGCGGCTGCAGCACGCAATCCCAGCACCATGGAAGCCCACCTGCCTTCGGCCGGCAACTCGTCGAGTCAGCGCAGGAAGCAGGGGCTCCCGCAGCACCGGGATTCACACTTCACCGAGAGGTACCTGCTGTGCGACCTTCTTGGCTCACCTGGGGGCAGGGAGAAGGGCGTGTGTGTGCTGTGCTCCTGGGGAGGGGGCTTTCTGGTTCAGTCCCTGGCATCTCAAGCTAAAAGGACCAAGGGGGAGGTGATGTGAAGGAGCTCTAGTTGATACCCTGGAGATCCACTGCCAGCTGGAGTAGACGAGACAGACCTTGTTGGACCGATGGTCTGATGCAGTATAAGACAGCTTCCTCAGGAGGTGGTGGGTTCTCCTCCTTTGGAGGTTTTCAAGCAGAGGCTAGATGGCCATCTGACAACAGTGCTGATCCTGTGAACTTGGGCAGATCACGAGAAGGGAGGGCAGGAAGGGTTGCACCAGTGCTTAGTTCTCGTGGTCCTTTCTTGCATGCCCAGGAAAATGCCAGTTGCTACTTTGGGTTCAGGAAGCAATTTTTCTCCAGGCAAGTTTGGCCAGGGATCCTGGAGGTTTTTTGCCCCCTTCTGGGCATGGAGCAGGGGTCACTGGTGGTGTGTGGCGGAGGTATTTGTGAATTTCCTGCGTTGTGCATGGGGTTGATGACCCTGGAGGTCCCTTCCAACTCTATGATTCTATGTCTGTTCATGTGTGTGTGTTTATGTTGGCTTTGCTCACGCTCTGGTGTGTCAGTACCAAGCCCTAGAGTACTGAGGACGCAGAAGGCTTGAAACTATAAGTCCTTCCCAGCAGGATTGGAATCGGAACTGGGTTTGAACACTGGGTCAAATTCTGCAGCAGAACAGAATGAAGTAGCTGCAGCATTGGATGGTAAATCCGGAGGCAGATTTGGCTAGGGCTGGAGTGGAGGAGACTGCCGCATGGATGCAGGAGAAGGGATAATGAGGCAGGCGGGCCAGACCAAGGGAGAGGCAAGGGAGGTGCTGTGGCTCAGTGGCAGAGCCTCTGCTTGGCATGTGGAAGGTCCCAGGTTCAATCCCTGGCATCTCCAGTTGAAAGGATCAGGGAGGAGGCGACGTGAAAGATCTCTGCCTGAGACCCTGGAGAGCGGCTGCTGCCAGTCTGAGTAGACAAGACTGACTTTGGTGGACTGAGGGTCTGATTCAGTAGAAGGCAGATTCTTTTGTGTTCATGTGTGAGCCACATGAGTAAGGGCTGATCCAAAAGAATTTATGGCCAGCCCAGTTCAGAAGGGATGGATTCACTGCCTGAGGAATGGAGCCACACTGAGACTGGGGGTTGTGGAAAGGTAGACATTGCAGTCCCTTCTCTCCCTTCATTTTGCAGCAGTGAGTGGGTACCTTTGCACTGGCCAGAGAGTTGCTGGATCAAGTGCCAGCAGATGCAAAAACGCCCTGCGAGTCTGGTGTAGTGGTGTTAAGTGCGTGGACCCTAATTTGGGGGAACCAGGTTTGATTCCCCACTCCTCCACTTGCACCTGCTGGATGACCTTGGGCAAGCCATAGTTCTGTCAGAGCTGTTCTCTCAAGGACAGTTCTCGAGAGAGCTCTCTCAGCCCCGCCTACCTCACAGGGCGTCTGTTGTGGGGAGGGGAAGGGAAAGGAGTTTGTAAGCCGTTCTGAGACTCTGAGTGAAGGGCGGGGTATAAATCCAAACTCCTCCTCCTCCTCCTCCTCCTTGTAAGGATTTTCCCCGAGCCAGATTTGCATTCACTCCTAAAGGGAAAAACACTTTTCTTGTTGGTGGTTTAGCAAAACTCAAACTTTTGCCAGGCCAAGCAATTGCCCAGCTGCTTGGTTGGGACGTGACTCTTAGAAGACCCTGGGAGCAGAGTCACCCCTGTGGCAAGCGGGACCCCCCCCCCCGGATGGTCAAGGAGGTCCCCCGTTCTGGTCTTTGGCTGTCTTCAGTGCTGTCCCTCTTGCCTTGATGAAGCTCTCCAGGAAGGGATGACCTGGCAGCTGTACTGTCGATTTGTTCCAGCTGTGTTGGGGCTGGCTTCTGGGAGAGAGACCAAGGCAGTCTGCGTAGGCTCAGAGGCATTTCCTCTCAATCCCAAGCCTAAGCCCTAAACAAATTCCGATCGTGAAAATTTAAGACCTGGTGAAATGTGGGAGGGGAGCAGCTCCAAACGGACTTGGATTTCCCCTTTTTTGGGGGGGGGGTTTGCCTCGTCGAGGAACCTGCCCTGATGAAGCACTCCTGGGAAAGAGAAGGATTTGGGTGAGGGGGGGAGAAGAGATGCACTCTGGCTGACCTGCCCCACAAAGCCCCCAAAGCAGGCGAAGCGTGCTGGAGATCGAGCCGCCAGGAATGCGGACATGGGCGGGTTTTGGCTCCGCCAGTCGGCAAAGGAAGCCTCCCAGGCTCTGTGTGGCCTGGAGAGCCGCCAGGTGACTGGCTGAGCAAGGAGCGAGGCGGCGGCGTGGGGGGGGCAGGGGGGAGAGGGTTGGGAACAAACGAAGCGGCCGCCAGTCGCAGGCTGTGGTCTGCCCCTGGCAAAACAGGCCGTCTGTTTCTTGAATGACGCCTTGGCTCCGTTAGGGCAAATTCCGGTCAGTGCCTTGCTACCGACATGTGATGTGACGGATTCTGTGCCGGCTCCCATGCCAAGGGCGGGAACGCCGCACGTCCTTTGCTCAGACTGGTGTGCAGCAAGGTAATGTGAAGGCAGGCCGGATGTGTGTGTGTAGGTAGGTAGGGGTGCCAACCTCCAGGTGGGACCAATACTCCCTCTAAGCTGTGGAGTCTGGAGAGCAAAAATTCTACTTTGTGAGCAGTGTTCCCTCTAAGCTGAGTAGTGTGAGCTAGCTCACAGTTTTTTGGCCTCCGGCTCACACATTTTTGTCTTAGCTCAGGAAGGAGGTCTCCAGAGCAAACTAATCTATGCGGCAGCCAAATCGCTCCCTCACAGCTTCAATGCCCGTAGCTCCCAAAGTAGAATTCTTGCTCACAAGACTCTGCAGCTTAGAGGGAACATTGTATTGTGAGCTACTGACATTACAGCTGTGAGCGAGCGATTTGGCTACTGCATCAATTAGTTTGCTCTGGAGCCCTCCTTCCTGAGCTAAGACAAAAAATGTGTGAGCCGGAGAGACTAAAAAACTGTGAGCTGGCTCATACTGACTCAGTTTAGAGGGAATACTGGGTGGGACCTGGAAATCTTTTGGAATTGCCGCCAATCTCCAGACTGCGAAGATCAGTTCCCCTGGAGGAAAATGGCTCCTTTGGAGGGTGGCCTCTGTGGCATTATAGCCTGCTGAGAAGCCCTCCTTTCCCCAGCCCCACATCTCCCGGAATTTCTCAACCTAGAGATGGCAACCCTCTCCGTAGGATCACCCTTTCCTTGGCCTGTTGATTCTCACACCAGGCCCTTTTGCCCTCAGCCGGGAAATTCCCGGCCTTTTTTTTGGGGTGGGGATGGTTAAAATGGAGTCCACATTTCCCCCCCCTGTTGTCTGACTCTTCCCCACTGAGACTGAACTCCCCCCGCCTCTTTGTTAGCATCACATGGAAGCCCCAAGTTTGGGAACCTTGCAGTGTTTTGTCTACTTGTTTACTTATTCGGGAGACAACCACCTTTTAGTTAACACATTTTTTTTTAAAGCCAGCCTACTAAAAACAATACAAGGCAGAGAGCAATTAAAAGCTGCCAATCAAACGGGGGCGATTAAGAAATCAAAGACCATCAAAAGCAGCATCAACTGACTCAACACTATCCATAAATAAGCAGAGGTCTGAAAAAGGGGGGGGATATCACACCAAGGGGACAATTATTTATAGCGTTGCCAACTCCGGGTTGGGAAATACCTGAAGGTTTTGGGGGTGGAGCCTGAGGAGGGCGGGGTTTGGGGAGGGGAGGGGCCTCCCAAAGTGGCCATTTTCTCCAGGGGGACTGATCTCTGTCACCTGGAGATCAGTTGTGATCCCAGGAGATCTCCAGCCACCACCTGGAGACTGGCAACCGTACTTATGCAAAAGGTTCAGGAAACAAAAATCATAAATGAATAACATTTTGGCAGGCGTCTTAAGGGGCTGCCATGAATTTCAAGGTCTTCGTGCCACAACAGAAAACAGCCTGCCTCTGGGGCCAGGTCAGCACCAGAAAACGGGGGCTTTTCGGTGGTGGCACCAAGCTTTGCTTCAAGATGTGGGGGCACAAAGATGAGAGCTGAAGAGGAGCTCAGGGCCAGCTCTTACCCCACGCCCTCCACTCACATAACCTGTTTAGCGGTGATCACCGTAAGAGCTGTCCGTCTTCTCTGGAAACCGCACACTATCCAGGACGTCTTCACGGGCCCTCTCGAGGCATAGCCGGCGCCTTCTTCCTTTCTCTCCTAGATCCCACATTGGTCTGATCAAGCACCTTCTTGGTCTTCTCCAGTGAGGGGACTCTGCTGTTCCTGCAACTTATCAGATGATGTGTGAAGACGGCCACTGCCGTTTAGATGGCTTTAAGACAAGGATTATTCCAAATGAATCCCAGCTGCTGAGTCCAGCCAGCACAAAAGAGCTGTCTGCTTTTGTGCTCTGGTTGGATCTCTCAGGGGGCGTCCAGGCTGCCGTGGAGTTAGATAGATCTTAGTTTGATCCCGCAGGAGAGTTGGGGTGGTGGTGGCAGCGGTGGCCAGTGGATTACACGTGTCTTTTTAAAGAGTAGGAGGGGGGGGGATGGAGATCAGGCGATCCAAGCCTATCAGATGCTACACTCTCTTCATGCAGTATGAGGACTTTTTCAACACTGATTAACCACCTATAGAAGAAGAAGCCTTCACCTGGATGGCCCAGGCTAGCCTGATTTCCTCAGATCTCAGAAGCTAAGCAGGGCCGGCCCTAGTTAGTATTTGGATGAGAGACCGCCACAGGAGTCCAGGGTTCCTGTGCAGAGGCAGGCAACAGCCAGCCACCTCTGTCCGTCTCTTGCCTTGGAGACCCTACAGGGGCGCCATGAGTCAGCTGTGCACTTGAGAGCGCTTTCCTCCACCACCATAGGAGAGAAACAGAAATTCGCCAGATTTGAATGGCCTCAACCGTGATAGTTGATCATCTCCACGCTGAGAGG